ACCATAAATCAACCAAACAGCTCACTATCAACATTAACAGCTTATTTACCAAAACTTGTTTTATGTTCCTCTCCTCATTTTGCCTGGCAATTGAAACTAATTTGTTGAAACTCTGCCCAGCCAAATCAGTACTTCACTTTGTAAGATTTACCACAAAAGCTAGTCAAGAAGATTGGAAAAGATTCCCTGGCATAGCTCTCAAAGGGAATCAAGCCTGATAACACCTTGAACAATTCAAACAATAAATTTCTGTTGCATAAATCACTCAATCTGCATGCTTTGTTATGGAAGTCTAGCAAACTAACACACTCAGTCAGGGTGGCATTCTTCCTTACTGCAATTAAGGAAATTTAATTCCTTAATAAATTTATTTTGTTTAGCAACAGGGCTTTTTGGAAGTATTTTGGACAGTCAATGTAGAAACAGGGTAAAATTTTGGTCTTGCCACTTAATAATTGTGTCATCTTAAGCATATTAATATCCAAAGCATTAGTTACCAAATCTAAGAAATTTGGATATAACATATACTTCACAGACATGTGAGCTGTTAAATGTCTGCCACAAAGGAGACACAATGTTAATGGCATTAATGTTGTTGTTAAAGACAACAAATATGATGATGATGATGGTTAGGGTATTAGTGACAGTATGATGATTGCTGTAGGATGCTGAACTAAAAGAAATCCAAAAACTTTATTTATGATCCTAGGAGAAACAGTTGCACAGGTTGCATTTAGATAGGTTTATTTTTCCAAATGGAGATATCTTTGAATCGACTTTAATGAAAGTATGACATAGATAATCTGTGGCACTCATTTCTAGTTAACAATTAACCTTGAAGTTCTTGAAAAGTTTGCATCACAAATAGTTTTAAACAAACTCCTTGAATAAGTTCATCTCACTGGTTTACTTAGCAAAGCAAAACTTCATAAATAGTGCAAAGGCAAAATATCAGCCAGTCTCAAATTAAATGATTGCATAAGTACATAAATTGGAAGTTATAATTAATGAAGTTTTTATTGAACTTTCAATTATTCAATAGCAGAACATATTAAATTATCCCTAAGTGCCTTATTCTCCAATGTAATTCCCTTCTTTCTCTTATTCCTTCAGCTATCTCTTGCCATATCAACCTTTGTTTCTAGTGCCTTGTTTATTTAATCATTTAAAAAATACTCATTTAACGCTTAGCAAATGCTAGGTGCTACATGCACTAAATGCAACATGGTACTTAATCTCATGGAGTTTAATCTAATGGGGGTTGGACACATGATACATCAAACATCACTGTCTTTCAAAATATTAATACACCACCATTCTTTTTCATATATACGTAAATACAATAATCATAATTCATGAACTGGTATTTATATGTTTTAAAATAATGAAAAGATTAAAAAGAAGGATACATAGCTTTTGTAAATGCTTCAACTGCTATTACATTACTCTGAGTGATGGCTGCTTAATAATAGCTCTGCTCTGTAGATGAGCAGGCAGTAGAGCACCATTAACCATATTGAAAGTGCTTTGTTTTAGAACAATTCATTGATAGATTGAAAGCAAGTATTCTTGAGTAAATTAGGATGTTAAAAACAATACTGTATGTCTGCCACTTGGAGGTCACAGCAAGAATATTATAGAAGAAGATATATTGATAAGAAAAATCTATCCAGGATTTAGTGTAAAATTGCATTTGTTTCCCTAGTCCCTAATTTACTTGTGTTTCATGTAAAATTTAACAGTATTTAGCATACCTTCCTTTTTTCAACTTTTTTGCCTAAAATCCATTTCACTCAGCTGGTTCTTCATTGGTATGTTATTCTCTATCTGTAACTGACTTTTCTTTTTCTTTTTGAAGCTTATTATAGTTTCTAGGTGGTCTATCCTCATTTTTTCCCTTGTCACAGGCTCTCTATGTGGCTTTATTCTGGCCTTAACTACCAAATTCAGATTGATTGGTCCCAAATATTTATTTCGAGACTTGATCCATGATTTTGTTCATCATTTCTGTTTGTCTGTGAGATCCTCAAGATACATCAACTTATATTCCAAATTTTGATCACGTGTTTCCCCATTGTGACCTTCATTTCTTAACTTGGATGATAGCATACCTATATTTTGCCCATATGTGGAATCTTATGCCGTTCTTGGCTCCAATTTCTTTCACTTGTGTCCCACAGAACTGTATTAACCAATTTCCTCCTAATTTATATATTTAGACAATTCCCTACAAGTTATTTTCCATTGTGATAGCCCAGTTACTTATTACCTCCACCCAACTGTTCCTATTGTCTATAGACCAAAGTCCAAACTCATTAGTTTGGCATTTCCCAAACAAGTCTTAACTTATCTTCTCTCTTTCACCTTTAAACAATTATTTCTTTCTCATAAAGTCATTTAAGCCATTTCCATATAGCTTCTGCTTATGCCATAGCAGGCTATTCACCAAACTCTGAATCTGCCCTTACTTTTACTATCTCTGTCCCTTTATTTTTGCCATTTTGTCTACTGCCTGGAACATTCTTCCTCCATCTGTTTATCAGGCTCCTTTCTATAATTGCTTTCCTTTTTTCCTCAAAAACCCATTAGAGTTTATTGTTCTCTTGTCAATGTTTCTGTATCACTTTATATTTTCCTTTGGTCATAATTTATTAAAAGACATTTTTGTTATATTTCTGTTTTTCTTATTATACCCTGAGCCTTTTAAGGCTTGGGATCCTTTTGTTGTTAAAATAGTCTAAAATTGTCAGACAACCTTGAGTAAGTCATTCACCTCTCAATCTCAGTGTCATCATCCATAAAGTTGAAATGTAAATATAAATGTCCTTCTCACTTCAGAGAGTTCATGTCAGGATCAAGCAAAGAAACAAAACACATAGAAGTGCTCAGTAAGGAGGAAAGACTACACGAATACTGGATGGTATTTGATGTTTATCCCACTTGACAGGAATTGCTTTTCTATGTAACCAAGAGCTATTGTTTTACAATTTAAATTACTAGAAATATGTATTTCAAGATTGCAAATA